ATGTTTTGTATTTGTATTTCTATTTTTCTGTAAAAAGCTGTGTTTGCCCAGAATATGATTTTAAATCATTTCAGTTCAGTCTTCCACTGATCCAAACTGTTTGTGTATGGCAAAAATTATTTATTGGATCTGGCGTTGTTTTCGAAATTCTGTGCTTTGGTGCATCTACTTGTCATTGTGAACTTAACTGCCCCCATAAGTCAGGGAATATAAATGGAGGAAAAGCAAGTAAACAGTGGAAAACACAGGTTATGGTGACTGATAGACTGAATCTGTAGAGTGATCCAGTGTGTGCTTACGTTTCAGGGTGGTTCTATCAGGGCTTCTGCTCAATTGACATTTCAAAATCTGTTACACACGCATCTCATAAATTTTGACTGTCATGCAAAGAGTTCCATGAAATAAGCCATTAAACACCTCTCCAGAACGCCTAACACACCTGGTTCCAGTATCCATATGAAGGAACAAAGTGGGTGACCTCACAGCATTACATTCTGCTTTGTTGCTCAATGATTTATTAAAGCTCCTTTCTTTTTTTTTTTTACCAACATCTGCCTCTCCTCTGCCTCCTTTCACACCATAGAGTGCATCTGTGTGAGTATGCATGTGTGTTTGTGTGTACTTGTTTTCCTACATTTTCAGTATGTTTTCAAGACCGACTTTATAAAGTGCTTTTCACAAAGGCTACACCTTTCAAGTTGTAAAACTGAAAGAGCAAATAGCCTTAAGCCAAAATAGAGCTTTATTAGTCTTATAACTGTTCCATTAACCGTTTAATTTATGGATAGACACCACAACAGTAAATCAAATTTAGGTCAATGTAAAATTATAAAGCAAGCAGCTGCACTGTTTTTTTAGTTAACTCAATTTGAAGGCACTCCACTGTCTCAATAAACAATAAAGTTTATTTATTTAAAGAAAAGTTTAAATTTAGCTTACAGAAGTAAACAGTGAGTGCACTTGTCTCATTATGAGCCGAAAGTACTTATAAAATTATTTTATTTATTTTTTATCATTTATTATTATTTGTTATTTTTTAAAATGCAATCTTTTTTATAATGTGATTAACATTTACTATCAAAAATACATATTTTAATGGGTCAGTTTCATTCAGATAAAAAGTATATTAAAAGACAAGAAGATTCCATGAACTGTGCTGTAATGGGTTTTATAGGACTGCTTTATATTTTTATTTTTTTAAGGTTATAGGTCAGGTGTTCATGTGAGACCAAGAAAATGCTCCTGACTTAATAAAGTGCCTTTTATTTTTTTTTACTTTTTCTAGTCTTGGCCAGTTTCCACCTGCTAGCTGGGTCTCGACACAACGCTTCCAGGCTGGGAGGGTGAAGACTAGCACATGCTTCCTCTGAGACACATGAAATGCCACCCCATTTTTCCTAGGCAACTCACCACTAACTAACAGACGTTAGCTAACAGACGCCTGCATTTGCTAACATCATCCTGAGTGATGGGGGGAACATAGAGGGCCATCCTACCCACGCAGAGTGTGTGAGGCCAGTTATGCTCTCTGGCATTTCTCCACCAGACAGTACAGTATAACATTGTATGGTTACAAATCTAAACCCAGAAATACTCGTGATTTGGGTACGTTCCCCACCACATAATAGAACTGTGAAAATAGGTGGAGTTCTCTTTAGCTTGTGTAATCACAGGATCTCTCACATGAATCTGGCATTAACAGTACACACAAACAACAGTAGCAACAGTTTAGAAATGTAGCTTTTACTCTGTGTTTGTTTTTATGTGAAGAGTCACAGACAGCAATTCTGGGTTGCTAGTGATTGCATTTGGCCAATCAATGGTTTGCACCATTACTAACTCCCGCCATACATTCTGGCTCAGTATGCTTGGTACTCCAGCAAGAGGGTTGACCAAATTTGGCACCGGTGCTCAGGCATGGTACAGCTCACTTGGCAGTGGAAATTACTACGAAATGCTTGCTCAGATTTGTAACCATGCTGTATCTATCCCAATGGTTAAAAAGTGCCTTTAGACTCTCGGCCACGGATGCATGTGACATTACCAGGGACCAAGCTTGCACTCTCCCGATGCTAGGGCCAGTGCACAGGCCGTTGTGCCACTCAGTTACATAAAGTACCTCATACAAAAGCTATTTTTTTGTATTTTTTTAATCGAAAGGATAAAATGTTTTTTTGTTACTGAGGTTATAAGTTTACTCTGTAATGACATTTAGAGTTGGGCTTAGAAAATTCTTATCACATGTGAATACTTAAATATATACACTACAATACATATTGGAACATATGCATGACCTGACATTCTGACACTATGTAAGGAGAGACAGAAAGAGAGAGAGAGGATGAGAGTGAGAAAGACAGAATATGTGTACTCACGTACGCACATATGTGTAACATGTCCCACACCAACTAAAAGCATCTGCAGTCCAGTACAGTGCTGGAATGTTCTCACACGTTTCCCCCTGATCATATATACACACGCTTTTCCCTCTAACACATCAGCTATCTCAGTTTTCAAATTTCATTGGAATTTTCAAACAGGCATGTTTAAACTAGCTCATTTTAAACCTAAATCATTTCATGTCTTTGTACAGTGACAGAGGTGGGTGAAACACCACACCATAATATACTGTCACAGGAAACCTGACCATTACCATTACATTTACAACTATAACAGCCTCCACTCTTCTAAGAAGGCTTTGCACAAGATTTTGGAGTGTATGTGGAAATTTAAAAAAACATAAAAAAAAACATTTAAAAAACAAAAACAAAAAAAACCAAAAACAAAAACATTTGTGAAGTCAGGCCCTGATGTTGGACAAGAAGGCCTGGTTCACAATCAATGTTCCAGTGGCTTGGCTCTGTGCAGGCCACTGGAGTTTCTCCACACCAAATTTATCAAACCATGTTATTATGGAACTTGTTTTGTGCACAGGTGCACAGTCATACTAGAAAGGGCCTTTCCCAAACTGTTGCCTTAAAATTGGAAGCATGTGATTGTTTACAATGCCTTTTATGGTGTAACATTAACATTACCTTTCACTAGAACTGAAGGGGCTGAGCCCACACCCTGAAAAACAGCCCCAGACCATTATCCCTCCTCCACCAAACTTTACTGTTGGCACTATGCATTTCGGTAGGCAGCATTCTCCTGGGGTCTGCCAAACTCACATTTGTCCATCAGACTGCCAGACAGTGAAGTGTGATTCATCACTCCATAGAACATGTTTCCACTGCTCTAGAGTCCAGCGGCAGCATGCTTTACACCACTCCAGCTGACGCTAGCATTCCGCATAATAATCTTACGCTCGTGTGCAGCTACTAGGCCATAGACAGTCATTCCATGAAGCTCCTGACAGACAGTTCTTGTTCTGCAGATGCTTCCAGAGGCAGTTTAGGACACATTCATTTCACAATAATAGCACTTGTAGGTGATCAGGATAGATCTTGTGGGGCAGCTCATTGTACTACTTCTGTAGCATTCTAGGACAGGGTCATGTTCAAAGTCACAAAACTCTTCAGTATGACCAGGTCTTCTGCCAATGTTTGTCTAAGGAGACTGAATGACAATGTGATTGATTTAATAGATGTATTAGCAAAGGGTGTGGCTGTATTTCCTAAACTCAATAATTAGGTAGGGTGTTCACATAGTTTAAAGTGTAAATTACATTAACGCCTTTTTATCTTTAAGTTTATTTACGATCAGCCATAATTATGCTGATGTAGTATATTTCATTCTTGCTGAAGTGATGTAAACATATCATGCAAATGTGCACACCCTTTTTTAGGGTCGGAGCACTTTATTGAGTCTTCATATGCATTTCATGATGCTATTCTATATTCAAGTAAGCTTTCAAGTGCTACAGAAGTGGTACAATGAGCTAAGGTAATCTTATGTGTGTTATCAGAAGATGCATATGTATTTCTGCCTGCAAAAGAAGAGCAGGGAAATCCCATATTCATTTATAGTTGTAACTGTAAATTTTAACACTTACACAGGGAAATTTTACATGCTTATATATGTGGGCAGAGAGAGAGAGAGAGAGAGAGAGAGAGAGAGAGAGAGAGAGCAGGTGATACAGACACTTAGGTTTGGATGCCCCCTGGGCTTGGATTCCAGATGAGTGTGGACAGATGCTTGGGTGTGGTGCAAATGAGTATATAGCCTATGCTGAGTTGCAGGGAGGAAGGGAGGGCATGGTTTTGATGTTCATTTGGCCATTTTTTTTGGTGGGGGAGGGTGCACAAATTATAATAAAATGTAATTAGACTGTATCTTGTTTATAATGCACTGAATCCTGAAACTAAAAAATCCACTATGCAGCATGTAGTTTTGCCTTTGACTTGTGCAGTGTGCTCTAAGGTTTTGTCAGCACAGCAAATATTCCTGCCTAATTTGTCAGGAGCACACAGTAACATTAATAAAAGCTTTATAAAATAAGCTGCACAAATATGCATTCTCATCTGCCTAGGCTTCAACTTGTAGCAATCCACATTTGAATGAAACTGCTCCTAAATTCACATTGTAATTTACCCTCACTGTCCCAGTGGACCCCCTGCACACCACTTTCCTCCTGCTTTCAAAACCCAAAAGTTCTCAATACAACTCAGTTGTTAACTGATGGACTGAGAAACGATGTGAAAAACTACTCTTACACAAAACATAAAAATATAAGAATATGAGAAACAAATTAAAGCTACAGGATCATGAAACACGTGGTAAAAAATACATATGAACATGTAAATTGAAGTAAATGCCACTAAATCATGAAAAAGCTGATAAAAATTAGTATAAATTGAGGTGAAGGTTGGCATGTTTAGGCCAGTTGCTTTGCGTCCGTGATTCTAAATGCAGCAGTACTGTGATGTGATTGGTTCGGGCAGAGCACGCGCGAAGGAACAACAACTGCAAACTCGTGAGCCGATTGGCTGCGACGCCTGCAGGCGGGCTCTACGTCGCTAGGCGCCGAAAAGTGATCCTGAAGTGAAGAGTAGAAAAAAACGGAATGTCAGAGGAGAGACTTAGCTGCAGGCATCCCAACAAGTCTGGACTACAGTGCTGGAGCTTCAGTTATTACTGGAGCAAGTAACCGCGCTACTGAAATATCACTCTATATGCGTATCAAAAAGGCACAGTTAGTGAACGCGAGGGTTTCCAAAACGGGAGTTTCTCACCGAGAAGAGTGGCTTGTGGGTCGAGTCCAAGCGTGTGAAGTTGGTGTTTCTGCAAGGCAGGTTTTAAAAGTGAACGTGGGGAATTATGTGCCAGGAGAGCTGATTCGTTTCCCTCTCGGTGTTGATGCCGTTTGTCTTTTCACCGGTAAGTTCTACCTTAAACCATTTTAAGTCCAGTGTTCACGACAGTGACAGAAAAACACTAAGAAATGAAGAAAAGGAGTTAACAAGCTCAATGATTTATGAGAGTCATTTTGGGACATGTGGGTCTGTTTATTGTGGGAAAAAATGTTCTGGATGTTTCTGTGCACTGTGTTTTTTTTCATTAATTTCGTGTCATGATGTCTCATGATATCAGTTTAACTCTTCCTGCGAGGGTTAAAATAACCTCTTTAACTAGCTAATACTTTGAGAAATAACACATCTTGAGCACCTTCAGAAATAAACCGAAGTTCCCCAAACTGAAACATTAGCTTGAGCAGCTTTTCATGTGGCAATTTAACTCTTAAGAGAATGCTCACACATTTTCTGACTGATCAATAGAACTGCTTTCTAATGCCAATCTGATTTTTGTGTTTTCCTAAATTTAACACACCTGAGTACACTGATAATCTAGAAGAGGGACACCCCCTGTTCTAGCACAGGGATTGCTCAGCACAGAGATTTGCTGTAACATGAAAAGGAAGTGCGGATGCTCCAGCTACCCCTGTCGCAGTGTCATGTAGCGGTCTTCACAGGAGGGTGTCTGAATGCGTGGGTGGCATGTGGGTTGTAATCTTTTGCAGGAGTCTGTAACTTTTCCATGTGATGAGTGTTTAAGAGCATCAAAGTATAATGTTTTAGTTGTGGAAGATCCAGTTAAGCATCAGATTTTTATCTCTCTGCCAGCACAGCACGCCTGGACAGAGCAGAATATATGTTTACACAGCATACTCTCTCATTGTTTGAGCTCAGTATCTATGGTGATAACCAAACATTAGATTTTATATAATAGTGCTTGAAATGTTTTCACAGTATCAGACCTGGATATTTATACCATTTCATCATGATAATGTATGGCCTTGTGGTGGTTGTAATTCAACATATTAGAAATGTTGAACATGGGAATGTTTAACCATGATTGTTTCTTTGCAGGTTTACTGTATGTCTCATGAAATGTTTCACTTTTTAACTCTTTATTCTTCACGAGGATTAGGTTCGTATAGCAATATTTCCTTGATGTGGTTTAACGCTCACTTATGTTTAATAGACCCGTTGATGCATACTGCACTCTAATGCCAGATTAAGTGGGGGATTTCTAAGAGACAGTGATAGGATATCTGTTCACTGCTTTGTAAGTTTATAACATTGTTTCTAGCCTTAGGACTGAATGTTCGATGTGGCTTTATTTTGGGGCACACAGTATGTGTGCTGGGTTTGCTCCTGCTGAAGCACTACAGCATTTCTGCAGGGTCTGGATGAGGGGGGCGGGACCATGACCTGAGCTGAACTCAGTGATTCGTCACTTTGGATATCTCACACTCTGATAGGCAGTGAACGGGTGGCTCTGTGGCACTGGAGGCCTGGTAAGAGTGCCTGGCAAAAGGAACAGATTTTTACTCCATATGCGAATGTGTGTGTAAGTGCATTATGAGTGTAACAACATCCATATTTTCGAAAATAGAGCTCAAAATGTTTGATTCTGTGGAGCTCAAAATATATATACACAAACTGCTCTATCTCAGAAAAAAGCTAGTTTTATTTTAGTACAAAAGAGTGCAAGTAGAATAGTATATGCTTGTGCGAAGTGGTCTTACAAAGCAGCTGAGCTATGGACAATACAAAAACTTTCAATGCCTCAAAACCGCATATCTCAGTTTTTTAACCCCACCAAAACTGGAACGTCAGTGTGTTACAAATGTACAATTAAAACGTGTGAGTTATTTATTGGGCCTGCCACAATCCTGAATTTTTAGCTGAAAATTAATAGCCATATGAGTAACTGTGATTTGCAGTTTAAATGTCTTTTTTGTTCAATCTATGCAGTTATTACAGTACGAGCCTAAGATGGCCATTTTGGCTGATTACCTTAGGTTGGCTGATCTTGTTTCCTAGCTGTTGACACATTGTAGCTCCCTTCTGATCACAGACAAAATTTGAGCTCAAATAAACAAACATTGCTTACTACAGCCCTCTAAAGGTGTTATAGCACCAGTCAGAACTTAATATTTTTTTTTTGTAAGACTCATGGTGTGTCTCAATAAATATGTTTTCCATTTTCTTTTTTTCTATGCACATTTTTTGCCTCAATCCAACTGAGAAAAACACACCCAATTCACTTTCTTTTACTTGTATTGTAAACATATTAACAACTGTGGAAATAATTGCGATCAGCTCAGTTAATTGCTATTGGCTTGAATAATTGCGGTCAGGCAATTTGTACGTTGAAATTTTCACACTTCTAAGCAAAACCATGTCTGAGCACTGCTTGTAAACAGAATTCCTGATCCCCATGTCATTTGTTTCAATACCTCTTTCTGAATGTGTTTGGTCTACTGCACACTTCTGGCAGTCCTGAGACTTCTTTCAAGTGTACTTTCAATAGCACATTCGGCAGTAGTTTGATTAATTTTGAAAAAAGTCTCACACTTAAATTATGACCAATTAAATTATGAATAGCATTTCTATTTCAGCTCCCTGCAGTGATCTCTCATTGAAATCTTCTCTCCACATCAAGCCATCAGCTGTCTTAGCCCAAGTTTTCTTATCTTAATTATTTCTATAAAGGCCCCTTCCAAGTCTCGGTTCAGTACTCTGTTTAGGCCATACTGTAGCCACTCTTGTTCTTTACTGGCCTATTTCACATCTGTGTGACCTGTATGTATGACAGAGAGCATCTGTGCATCAGTCTCTCTGACTCCTCTGCTTCCTGATTAGAATGTGTTTGGCCGTGCCTTAGTCACGTTCCTTCTGGGCACATTTTTGTCTCTGTTGCTAAAAATTATTTTCTGTTCTTATCCCACTCATTCATTCATTCATTCACTCACTCACTCACTCACTCACTTATCAAAAACATGTACTGCAGATCCACATCTATGGGAAAGGAAGTGGCCCTCTCCTCACTCTCTGGAAGCTATAAAGAATGATCTGTTCTAAGTTGTGCTGTTTTAATAGACTTTTTGGCTGCGCTCTGCTGGCTTTTTGAGGGCAGCAGGAACTTTGTTGTGGCTTCTGGTGTTTTCATTTTTTATACCTAAACATGGTTCTCTATGTTTCTTTTTCTTCCCTTTTTTCTTTGCAGAGTTATTCAGTACACTCTAGTTATTCAGTACTGTTTTCCAACTATCCTGTTGTAATTCCCTGCAGCTATTTAATACAATGATTCTACAATTATTACAAAGCTGGGAATATTTTCCTACACTACGTTTAACCATTTTTTTTAACCTGTTATTTTAAACTAAAGTTTCTGAATGTCTTGAAATGTCTCATTAGGTTATGAACATCCTAAGCTTCCAGCCATGCAGCATTTAAACAACGCCGCGAGAGGGAGTCAGTTCTCATGAAAGACATCACAATAATGGTAGTATTCATGAGAACCCACAAGCCTGAATGTTTTATTACTTTTATACAACTGTTCTTCAAAATTAAAGAAAAAGTAAAGCAAAGACGTTCCAAATATTGTCAATATCAAGTTCAGCGCTTTTTCAGTATTTGCCAGATTAGTGTAAATGTTGTTTTGCTTCACACAGTATAAAACATTCCTCAGCCCATCTTGTTTGCCACGTTTTATTTTGTTTGTTTCTGACCTTTTCTAGTGTGTTTAGGTGCTCTTCTGTCACAGCTGCTGACTGAAAATCTCACATAGGGGCAACAACAGATTCAGATCTTGATGTAGGTCTGCTGTCACACTCTTCTTCAGAATCTGACCAAATGGGCTGCAGTTCAAATATGAGCTTATGGAAGTTTTTTGACATTTCCATTTTCTGTTTCTGCATGTGCAAAAGTAGAAATGTAGGCCACTGTTTATTCACTTGGACAGAAGTAAGCCAGGTAACAAGTGAGCTGGCTACAGCAGCTGAAGTGTTGGTTAAATGGCTACAATTTATATCAGTTTGTCTGCAGAAATAATTTGTTTCAGAAAACATGTAAAGTGGTAACAATGTTAAAAATACATGAAAAGTTAGATAACTTAAAATTAGTCTTTTAGAGTGTTAGTTAGATAGGTAGCTAACATGTAGGATATGGCTAATGCTAACCCTAAACCTAACTTATTATATTTTGAAGAAAGAATTTAAACTACTTTAATTTTATGGAGCAGTTTAAACTAATGTGTTTGGAGAAAAATGAACTCTAATCCTAATCTTAACTTTTTATTTGAAGAACCACTTTACATCTGCCCAAGTAGGGCCTTTTTCTGAGCAAACAGGGGGTTCATCTGCAATTCCTGAGGCTTCACATCGCTAATCTTGGGGGGCTGTGGCTAGATATTGCTTCAGGGATATCAGAAATGTGTTGTGAATGTAATGTTATAATCTTGATGCAGTGTAATAGTTTTAAATATTTTTTACCCTTCCTGGAGACTGAATACATGATGTGGGTAAACACTTGAACAGGTGGTTGTGGTCATGGTCTTTTGGTCTGAGGCCTGACTTCAGTGGCAAACATTTAACAAAAAATAAAATAAATAAACATAAAACACTTTAATGTCAAGAAAACCTGTTAGCTTTAGCACTGGACCTAAAACTACTGAATAGTATTGGTCAAGCAAGCTGAACATAATGTAAAACATTATTACTACCAAATAAGGGTGAAATAAAAAAATCCCTATTTATGTTTAGCAGCATCCACCACTCTGTTTGCATTTGCTTGTGTGACTGCATCTCTTTCGACATGTTCCTTTAACCGACTCTATCCTCTCTTTCTCACCCACTGTCTGTTTTAGTCTTGCTCTACTTCACCAGTTTTCTTCAATGTGCTTTGCATAACAGTTTGTAGCATGGCAGTCTAGATACAGAATTTTATTAAATTATTCAGTGTCCTATTACTTTGCAGCTTCTTATGCACTCTCCCTCATTTCTGAGGCCGCTTTTATACATTTGTAAGAGTGCTTGGATATTTCAAAAGATCTGACTTATTGTCACTTTTTGTTAGCTAGGTTAATCTCTT